GATTTAGCAGAGGTAAATACATCAATACAGGAAACCTATAATGATTTTGATTCAAGTGAATTAAAATCTTCCAAATATATAATGCTGAATAAAATTTTCAAGACCATGTAATGTCTATTAGATTTAGCTAAATCAGTTTCAACTTTCCATCGGTGAATAAGAAGGGGGAAAAAATTCTGAGCTGCCTTATAATTGTAAGCATCTTTGTATTTATCAACTGAATTCCTCCGGGGGGGGGGGGGGGGGGGGACAAAGTAATACATTAGCTTAGAAATCACACGTTCAGAGCCAGAAGTGCATTGTGCTGGGGTTAATGCCTTAATGGCTCCAAACAGAAATCAGTCTTTTGGCAATGAGTGTTGAGTAATGTTTTTGGAATAACAGAATTAAAGTAGGAAAAATGGTTCTCAAACTGCAAAGCTTCAAGGCTTTTAGCACAAGAAATGTTTGATTTTCATAGCGAAAAAGTTTTCAACTAATTTCACTCTTTTTCTTTCAACCTTAAAGAGAAGGTTGAGTTGTGGTGAGGTTTGAGTAATACTTTGTGAGCTATATTATTCTCTGTATGCCAATATCATAAAAGATATGTCCTCTGAAAAATTTTGCTTTTATAATGCCCACATTTTTTGAAATATGACAAGAAAGAGCTGTAAAGTTTGCACCAAATTTTAATTAATCATTTGTGTCTGCAGCTGCTGTGATTTCCCGTAAGATTAAGTAAAATTCTTTCAAAATTTCAATTATTCAAAAACCTCAAAGGAGACATTTATTTTTTTTTAATTACATAATCGACCTTTCCAAATTGCTTCCAGACAAGAAATTTCACAATGGAATCACTTGGCAAATACTCAACTTTATCTGTGCGCAACTTGGGAATCTCGAAGAAGTAATTGCATTTCTAACAGTCACTGGTTTATGTTTCCCATCGGGTTTTCATGCTTGAATGTAATCTCAAAACCGAAAGCATTCCCCCACGGGGGAACATTTTTGTAATGTTGCAGGAAATTGCCCTAACGCAGTAGCAATAGAAAATGTCCAATTAAATTGTTTGACTTTAATACTCTCTTTAATCTTTTATGGCTAGGTAGTTTACAATTTGTTACTTGTTTGATTCAGCTAAAGTAGAATATTTTGAAGAATATTCTGATAAATGGCGTAGTATGGTGCCTGGGGGAGTGGGGGGGGGGGAGTGGGGGGTTTGGGATTGGGTTGGGAAAGGGATGGATTGACTGATTGAATTGAAGGATGGTAGAGTTAGGGGTAGATGGGAATCATTCAACATTTTTCTCCAATTCTTTTCTCCTCTCATTCTTTTGTCCTAATCGAAGGGGGACAAAAAAACTCTGGTGGGAGTCACCCCCCCCCCAGGTATGCCATTGTATCTAGTGCATGATTTTTGTTGTTTTGCTACTTAATTGCATTTTTTTAAAAGTGAACGATAAGTCCATGTATGAAAAACAGCTTCCGCAATTACAAGAGCACACATTTTTTAAATTTAATACAACAACCGACATGGGAAAATCATTTACGTCAAAAGTAACACTAAAATCCAAAATTTATCACATCTGAATGAAACAAGAAACAAAACCAAATTTAAATTCAAGACTGTGAAACTCACAGGGGAATCCTTTTGACTTTTTAAATCAAATAATATTCATGCTACTTTGATTTGAATCTTCATAACTGACAACTCAAATGAGGATTTCATTTCCGTTCCATCGATAACACGAAGGTTGTTATACTTCAAATACAGCATAATTCATAAAATTGCTGTTGTTTGGCAGATTGAATTCCTGGACCCCGTCTTACAAAAGAGTTGCGATTGATCCGTATCAATCGTAAGTCGTCTAATCAATCGAAAGTTTGCAGTCCCCCATCTCTTATGAACATAGTTGTGATTGATATCGCAAATAAGTTGCCATTACTATCAACTCTTTGCTGGGTAGCCAGAAACTACTAAACGACAATGCAAATTTAGCTTTGCCTACTTAAGTGTCTATAGAGACCACACGTCTCCTTTCCCTCGAGAAGTGGTTTGATCACATATCAAAACATGTAATTGATCAGTTAGAGGTTCTATCTGAAGAGTTTAAAAAACATTTGTGGGTAACATCAGCTCCTATACGTCCTCACCAATTTAAACTTACATGATACATGTGTAACACACTTCCCCTATAAACCGATTGCTTACTCGAACCAGGCGGTCTCTGTGTTAAGCCTATGGGAATTAGATCTTTTAGTAGTCAGCAAGTTAACTTGTTTTATTTGTTGGCACTACTTCTTAAAGAAGTCTAATAAATCATATCTGAATTGACCTTCATGGGTGTGGAATCCCAATTACCCCTATTGCAGCATAGTCGCACCGCAGGTGCTTGCCTGTCATAGCAGGTGGTCATTGCAGCACCTCATCAAGGCCATCCAATTAATCCTTTAAGTGTCAACATGATTGCAAATATGGACTTAAAGCCCCACTGTAATACTTATAGCTACTTGAGCCCTCTTCATAGCAAACAATGCCTAATCGTTGCCTGTTGGTCCCCCATGATGCCCTTTTTCTTATGTTAATTGAGAGCTGATTTGATGAGATAACCACCTGTCAGTGACCTTGAAGGGAGGTCTAATCCTTCCATGCCAAACTAGTGCAGATGGGCTTTAAGGACTCTCAACATTTGAATTTGGGTTCTTTAATTTTGTTTCATTGTTGATTGGCTTTAAAATCTTCTGTGAAAATGAGCTCCATGATGTATGTACCCGTTTGTACTGCAGGAGAAAAAAACAACATCTATTTTTACATTAATTACAAAACTGATATTCTTGGCCGAGACTTGTCGCTAAGGGCATGCAAAGAGTTAGGATGGTTATGTGACATTTATGCCATTGGCGAAATCATTGCAGGAGCATGGATAGATGTCTAAATATCTCTGCATCAGTTCAATATTACTATTATCTCAACATATTTTAATTCTCTTTGAGTTTACTTTACATTTTCAAGTGCCTAAATAGTAAAATGGCTTCCAAAAATGTTCCACTTTCTCAACATCTTTATACAAGAAAATTACTCAAGAAACGAAATACTAACAGTCAGCTTACATTGTATTAGTTATTATTGATTTTAAAAATATCAACTTTTTCTTTCTTTCAGACACCTTCTTTGAATGTGTAAATAAAGTTTCATCAGCTTAGTTTTGATAGCTAATAAGGTTATTAATTTGGAAAAATTAGTGGACTGGGATGTGTAGTGTAAATGAAGTTGTGCAGATAAAGTGGAGTAGATGAAATCAAAGGACAGTAGAAACTGTGAAATGCATTTTAAACATAAACTATAGTCATTGTATGCAAGTTTATTTGCTCATTTTTATCACGCACAGACAACGTAGCACATTCTATCTTTTATTAAATAGTCTATCTTTCTCCTACTGAACAGTCTATGCTATCTCCTATTGATTGGTCTATTCTATCTGGGGTGTATTGGGTTAAGATGGAGAAAAGAACACAGTGTACCCAGAGAGATTCTAACTCATCATCGCAGCTATAATCAGGCATGAAATCATTCCGATACTCTATCTAAATACGTCAAGCTCCAGCGCTTAATTTAATCAGCGCTCAGAGCCGCGGATTTCATGTGCTCCACTTACTGCGGATGCAAAGTGGGAACAGTGATTAGAGTGCAAGCTCATGGGATAGGTTTCACGATACTCGATGGAACGATGACCCAAGACAAACAGGGGTGTGGGCGGGTGAGAAAGTTTGAGGTGGGATCGAGGGAAGGGTGGGTCAGAGAATACGTTAGAGATAATGTTGAAGAAAAATGAAGGCCCCCCCAAAAAAAAACCAAAAAAAAATATATATATATATATATATATATATATAGAGGAAGAAAAGCACCCTGAAGAAATGGAGAAAAGTGTAAGACATAGGGACATAACTTTTCATTGGGAGAAAACTAAACAAAGATGAAGAAAGGGAGGTAAAGCAACATATGTAGATAGATGGATGAATGGATAAACAGAACAATAGATAGATAGATAGATAGATAGATTGATATATAGATAGACAGATATATAGATAGATCGACAGACAGACATACATCCAGGTACATTCATACCTACATACATAGTTTGGTATTGATTTTAATTCACAGAAGGAAAAAGATGTTGATATTATTTTGAATTATGCACTTTTTACTATTTACAAAAGTTTTTTTTGGAAAATAATCTAAAAAGAAACAACTAAAAAGAGACTTCTTCATATTTTTATTTACCTATTAATTTATCGTTTACAAATAGAAGAAAATATTAGAAAACCATGTATATCCCTCCAGAAATGGAGGCAAATGCTAAAAATGTGAAAATGTTTATAAAGAAGACCTGAAATGGTTATTTTACAAAAAAATAAAAAATACCTACTTACATACATAAAGATAAAGGAAAAAAGGGTAAAAAAGATATTGAGTTTAAAAAGAGAGAGGGAGACCCATTAGAAAAGACAGATAGAAGATAGATAGATAGTTAGATAGGTGGATTGGAAGATAGATAGATAGTTAGATAGGTAGATTGGAAGATAGATAGATAGTTAGATAGGTAGATTGGAAGATAGAGAGATAGTTAGATAGGTGGATTGGAAGATAGATAGATATGGAAAGAAATAGGGCGAAAGAAACAATGAGCTTTAAAAACAGAGAGGGACCCCATTAGAAAAGGTGAACGGCTAGCTATCTAGGGATGAATGAGATACTGATGAACGTAAGAAGTCGATGGAAAGATAGGGATGGAGACAGAAAATGAGTGAATGTGGGAAAGGAGTGATAATGATAGTGACAGAATGCGAGATAGAAGAGAAATGAGACATAAAAAGAAGAAACAAAGACAGAGTTAGAGAAAGAAATTGAAATGATAGTAAGAATTGCCAGAGAGAAAAAAAGAGGGTTAGATAGACAGATAAGAAGGAGATGGAGATGGTGAGAGGAAAGGATAAATGGGATACAGAAAGAGTCTTCTTACCTGGCCAAACACTTGTATTCAGCCACGTCAGGTTGTCATTAGCGTAGTCATAGTAACCAATCTTTCTATACTGCCCATCTGCAGAAACAAAGATACACAGAAAATATAAATTACAAAATAAATTTTGCTTTCATCACTAGATTCAACTTTTTACAGTTCTAAACTATTCACCAATTTCATACTAGAATTGGGTGGTTCCTGTATCAAACCTATATATGGGGAATACAAGATATCATCAGTCAATGGGCTCATGGCAATTTAAAAAATCATCTCTATATTAATTTTCATAGGACTTCCCAGCATGTATTCATAAGATACCAATAGTTGTTTATTGATAACATACAAGGGCATTAATCATTCTTCTAAATGTAATTCAATAAACGGAAGAACAATCATACACTTTTTCACTTGTGAGGTCCTTTTCTTTTAAAAGAATAACCAATTTAACATTCTTCTGGTTTAGATAATATAAACACTTTGGTTGTATAATGTATGTATGCAAGTAAGTAACAAATAAATTATTTCCTCTCAAATAGAAACTGAGATCTACAGTAATGCAGTATTTATTTTCGTACATAACAAAAACTGTGTAGATTGTTAAATTCTGCAACAAATGCTATGATTCCAGGAAAATATTTGTATCCATGTTCAGTTGATAATTTGGTAAACATCTCACCCGTTTCATAATTCCACACTTTCAATGATGGCCTTGTTTTTATACTTTCAGTGACCAGATTAAATTTATGACAATATCAATGGTCAAATTTGTAAAACTATTTCATCATCTGATGGTTCTTGAGTGAATTATGAGCTGACCTGACCGATAGCTACTACTTTGAGACCTAATAATCTCTCTCTAGATGACCATCACTCATCCTGTTTTCTTTTTATCACAAATTAATAATAATACTACTACAGTGCTTTATAGCAAATATCACTGCCGTAGCGTCTCTATGCGCGATAATTTCAGACTTTGGTGCGCAAATTGTGCATACCAAAACAGCCCTGATTATTTCACACTAGAGGGTTGACTGATTGATGATGTAAAATTGCAAATTTGTTCTTTTAACTGAATTGTATAACAAGAAGCATCTCTTTACATTGCACATCTCTCACACAAATTTTTTGGATAATTCTGTTTAAATCTAACATCAGAGAGTTGTCTTTGAAACATCTTAAATGCCAGGGTAAGGAGCTCGAAACATGTCTGCAAAATATTGACGGGAGGCATACAAAGATTCCCCTCTTTGTTTGCTACAAGACAGATATAACCTTTTTTCCACACATCCAAAAACAGACTATGGTTATCTTGATCAGTATATAGCTGACCAACAATTTATTCTGGATTTCTTTTGAATGCAAGCAGTGATTGTCTATTTTAAACCTGATGAATTCAAAGCATAATATAAACTTGACATTTAAATTTTATTTGAAATGCTTGGAAAGTGAGGAAATCATTTTCTTTCATGGCTTTCGAAAGCTTTTTTAAGGAACAAACCTTATTTTTATGTTTAAATGAAAACAAATCATTTTGGCTGTCAGCTCAAAAATTGGACATTGCTTTCAAAAGATCAACTTCTTTCATTCAGAATTTCACCAAATATGAATATAAACTTCACAAAAATAGGTATGAACAGGTGGCTTTTTAAAAGCCCAGTCGGATAATAATTGCTTCAAAAGGTTACAGGTATTTTATGAAAATACCAAGGCAAACTAGAAATGACATGTAATGGGAAAACAAGGGTTCAAGCAAGCGGACAAAGCCCTATCTGAGGCTTCATCAGTTTGAAAAAAGAGGGATAAATACAGTTTCCTCCTGGATATATTATATGACATAACTTGGGGCCCAGAGAATGACATTAAACTCCTGTCAGTTTTAGTGATCGTTTCTCTTGAATCTTGACAGGTTTTTATACAAACCGCTGACTTTATCGTCCTCATTTCAAAATAAAAACCGACAAGATTGCATACTAATAAGACGATTGCAGACAAGTTAATACATTAATGGAAGACATGGATCACACTTATCCTTGGTCGATCAAGCTCTGCTTTCAATGTCAATGACATAAAAGATTCCTCCCAGGAATTGATTACCAAGTTTACTCTCATTTCCCAATTTTCATGAAACCATCAGACATATCGCTGTATTATTAAGCAACCTAAGAGAAAACACCACACCACAATAAGATCCGTTTTAAGTGTAAGTGAATCGCAAGTGGGTGGAAAATAAAAGTAGTGGTGTCATGTGGTTCAGACACTTTATTGGAGATGCAAAGATAAATGGGTTTGATTCCTGATACGGCACTTGTGTCCTTAGGCAAGGTATTTTACCTTCATTGCTTCCCTTCATCCATTCAAAATATATTAAAGATGTGAAAAGACATTGAAAATTATTATCATTATTAATGTTGTTATTCTCATCATCATCATCATCATCATCATCATCATCATCATCATTATTATTATTATTATTATTATATCATTATCATCTTTGTTATTATTATCATCATTGTCATTAATTTTAATTGTCAATTATTAATTACTCTAATTAAACAACACAGTGCTCTATCCATCCCTAGTTATCTACATGTTGTAACATATGGAAATATTAACAGACTATGCTTATCTAATTTCTTTTTAAAGCAGTTTGAGGCTTAAAGCTGCGTCCCATGCTACTTAGATCGCAAATTAAATACTTTCCCCCAAGCTTCACTTTCAAATTATTTTGCTCGAAAAAAGAAGAAGAAAAAAGAAGCCAAATTTAGGACACAGCCTGATTAGAAAGAAGCCATTCTGTAAAAGCCCTTGTTATGAAAAGTGATTATATGATAAGATCAAGACTATACAAATTGGCAAGAAAAGCCCCCCCCCCTCCTCCTTTCACAAAAATCAAGCAAAAATGGAGACAAAGTTGCAGAAATTCTCAAGAAAATGTTGACACAATTTGAAACCAAACTTTAACAATCATGGCAGCCTAATATTCAATGACATAATCAAAGCAAAGCACAAATATATCAATTTATTGTTACTTCAAATAAGTATGAATTATTTTCATGACATTCAAAAAAGAAATTATTTGGAGATAATCTATGATACATATTACGTTGGAAATGTAAAGGTTGCTTTTCTTTGCTACAGTTCTAAAGACTTTTTCATAACATTGAAGGAAAAAAATGGCATTTCCATTTTGTTGTTTTTAATTTGATCTAATGCAGACCTTTAGTTAAAAGAAAAGTGATGAATTAAAAGAAAAGTTGCCTGGATGGTTTCTTATCATCTGCAGAGAGCCAGAAGGGCGTTCACTCTCTATTAAAGTATATACAGTAAGGTCCTTCTATCTGTCAACAGACAATATGCCTACAACAGTCCTTTGTTATTATAGACATAGCACATCAATGTCCAGTCTCAATATTATTCACCTCTGATGAAAGAATGTTATTTTACTCAACAAGCCGAGTGGCTCATAAAAACAATGAAAGTGACTTGAAGACATTAATGGAACATACATAAACAAATCAGTCTGGCAGGGAGTTCCCCCATTATTGATTAGGGAGGAATATAAACATCATCACTTTTATCAATGTCTTTTTACTTGATGAAGGTTGGGGTATCATTATTTGTACAAAACATTTCAGCGATTCTGATTTAGAAATATGTCTTCAAGCCCTTACGTCAAACATCAATACTAATATAACCACCACATCTTTGCTTTAATAACAAAAGGTTATTTTACCCAATGAGACGAGTTATTCATAACAATAATGAAAGTGACTTGAAGATATTAATGAAAGAGAAATGAACAATCAGTCTGGTAGTAAATTTCTCCATAATCGATCAGGGAAGTGTATAAAAGTCATCACTTTTATAAATTCCTTTTTTTTTACTTGATGAAGGTTGGGGTTTCATTATATATACATACATCTATACATAGGAAACATTTCAGGGATTCTGATTTGGAGCTCTTATGTCACATATCTTTTACTATTATAACCACTGCATCGTTGCTGTCTAAAAATGTTCTACAATTTCTACTACTACTACTACTACTACTACTACTATTACTACTACTACTCCTACTACTACTACTACTACTACTTCTTCTACTACTTCCACTACTTCCACTACTTCCACTACTGATGCTGTTACAACGCAACTACAACCATTGCTAATTCTACTACCTTTACTACTACTACTACTACTACTACTACTACTACTACTACTACTGCTGCTGCTGCTAACACTAATACTAATACTACTAATACAACTATTGCTGCTACTACTGCTATTGCTACTACCACTACTACTACTACTTGTACTACTTGTACTACTACTACTACTTTTGTTTTATTTTATTGTGTACATTATTTAGAACACGTATATTGTACATGAGTTATGAGGAGCTCTAGTCTACCCTTAACTGAGCATCTATCAGCTTCAAGAACTTGTCGGCAGTGTGCTTGAATCAATTCACTTACCAATCATTTGTTCAATCTGTGTCCACGCCAGCCTGTCTCCTGTAGATGTAAACGCTACTGTCCCCTGAAAAACAGATAAAAGAGATAAAAGAGATGGAGAAGAGTAGATCGTGGTTAGACTCCTAGAATCGATGCTAAAGTGATATTTGTGTGAAATTAGCCTCATATTCCTGAACATGCTCAATTGATGAATTTATCATGGAATACTTATTGACATTACATACATTATTTTGATGAATTACTTGTCCATACCTTTGATATATATTTCTAAATCTTATATATATTAACATATCATGTTACCACTATTATATTACTTTTGTGTTTTGATGTTTGTATTATAAAGTAATTACCTGATTACTTTGTGAGACAGACAATATCAGCCTTGAGCTGCGTGTCATGTTGTTTTTTAATAAACAAATTAAATTAATTTCAATTCAATTCAATATACCGGTAGATGGTCTGAAATATAAACTGAACTTTAAATTTTTAGTGTGTCACTATGATGGAGTGAACTATAGGTGTAACTGTACAATGCTATACATTAGCTGAATGTTGAGAAACACCTTAACCCTTTGACTATGGGAAGAGGGTGGTTCATGTACTAACACTATAGGAGTAGGAGAGTCCAGTAGTCAACTGGTTAAAATACATCTCCTTCCTTATGGCTGTCTGTCTGTCTCTCTTTTTTTCTCACTCCTTATCGATCTCTGTTTCTCAGTTTTCTTTGTCTCAGATTCTGAAACAAAATCCTGGCTTTAGCTCATGCTGCAATCATAATTATAAACCTTTAAGTCAGTCAGGAACCCCATGACTTTTACAAGCCGATCGCCTGTCTGATTATCAAGATATTTATGATTGGAAATCAAAATTTCAAAAACAGTTTTCCTAACGGTTTTTATAACATTACAGTCTATTGGGGAAAATGAACATGGTAAAACCAGTCATGCAAACAATTTACTTTTTGTGAGGCACTTCAGGATCATTTTGAAGCACCAATTGTTTTAGGGCTTCAATATTACACCCTATCACAGACACAGATAACGTATAGGGCCATGCATCTCAGATTTAACATTGCTAAACGATGCCTTTAATAATGTGTGTCTCCCTTCCTTGTATCCCTTTCTTTGTCTCTCTCTCTTTATTTCTCCCTTCTTTTCATGTCTCCTATTTTCCTCCTCCTACTCCATCTTCTTTTCTTCTTCTTTGTCTCCTTCTCCTTCTCCTCCTCCACCTTCTCTTTCTTCTGCTTCTCCTCCCTCTTCTACTACTTCTTCTTTTCTTTCTTCTCCTTATTCTTCACCATCATCTTCTCATAATTCTTTCTCACACATACAACCATGTTTGTTTGTATGTTTGTCTGTCTGGCCGTGCCTCCCCGCCTTCCTTCGCCTCGCCCACGTTCCGCCTTCTCTCTCCAAGGTTCCGCGTCTCTCACACGACGATGCTCTTCAAATTTGGAGTATTACACTCATGTGTATGACCATGGGTTTCTTTCAATATTGACCATGTAATACAGCCCTATATGTCCTTGGATTTGAGTGCATGCTTTCATGCTGTACCACGGCCCTGGCTGCGGCAATTGTGAACTGCTAATTCCCTTTTCTCTCTTCTCCAGCAACTATAAAAAGAATTTTTAAATCCAGGGTGTATTCGGTGCCAGACAAGTCCCCATATCATTACACTCACCCTTCATTCAGACCATCAGCATTTGTTGTATAGCTATCTAAATCTTGTACAGCTATACGATAATTCATTGAATTTTAGTTAGTCTGAACATTGTTAAAAGTAACTTCTTATAATCAAACATTGCATACCGAAACCTGTTACTTAAAAGAAACTTTATTAAACAAAACATTGTACAAATGCAACCCGTTACTTGATAAAGAGTCTGGGTCCTGTTCTCGGGTTTACGCATTAATAATTGGCCAGCTGTCATGTAAACTGACCTCATCAAAATGTCGTTGTTTCCTAGTCTATACGCTTTTTTTGCTATATACAATGATTTTTTTTTTTTTTTTTGTCAGGTGGCTTAGCGTCAAATTTATCAATTATCGTTACTCGCCGGATAAAATCATCATTTTTGGTACAGAGCTTCCTTAGCACCTACTAAGGGATATTAGGCTAGGAACCCTCGCAAAAAAGTCAATTTAAGGGTGTGGGGCGGGGGCGTCTTTTTTGAGCCCCCAAATCATTTTACAACATTGATTTGTTGTACAATCCCATTTTTGGTACAGGGCTTCCTTAGGACCTACTGAACCATATTAGGGTAGGAGCCCCAGGCAAGAATATCATATAAGGGTATGGGGAGGGGGCGTCGCCTTGTAGCTCCCAAATAATTTTGAAGGTAATATAAGTTGTTCTGGTTCTCCTAAGAACTTCATTATTGAAAGATGTATTTTGTAATCCGTCTGACTAGTCACCTTCAAGCATTAAAGGTAAAGACCAGTTATGGTCATGCGATTGCATTGTGAAAGAAACGTTGTGGAATCGATCAGAAAAGGTTGATCATCTAGCATCTAGCATCTGCAAGGTTCTGGAATCATCAAAATGATAAGAAATTTGGCCCATTCTTCGTAAAGTTACAAGCACTATACACAGAAAGATGTATATGGGACTACCCTATATCTCTCACAGTAAAATGAGAGAAACAAATTTACCAAATATATAAATTAATAGGCGGTTTCCCGGCAAATTTTTTATCATCATGTATTAGTCAAAACATATTCTTTCACATGATTGGTAATGAGAGCTTCCATTTCATTTTTTGAAATTGGGGCGTTTCCATTACTGGTCTTTACCTTTAACATACAATGCATCATTCTCTTGAAGATTTTTTAAAAACTACTCAAATCAAAATGAGAGCAATTACTGTGCTAATTGTACGGTATATTGTTTCATTTACCTACAATATATACTTTATGCTTCAAGCTACTTGTACACATGCATGTTCCTAAATATCAAGGAAAGGGAAATGTAGTTATCACAGCAGATAACTTATAAGATCTCTGTCTTACATACGTGATATTTTTCTCAGTTGTTTTCTCTCAACAATGCCTTCACGCTTTCATTGTCATCCACTAAACTGACAGAGATAATTTGCACTCTGGAAAATAATTACTATTTGGAAGGATCTGTTTTATTTCCTTTATAGTTAGCAAAAACGTGCATTGATCCATGATAATTTATTGTGATAATTACAAGTCATTAATTAGGCCTATTTTCAGAATATGGAGTCCTTGATAAATGCTTCTGAGTACTGTTTGTGTCTCTTAATGATCATAATAGCATTTATCTGACAAAAGGAGTATATTTATCAACGAAAAAAGGGCTAGTATTTCAGCTTTTCTTAAATATTCTTGAGTCAAGAGAGCATTAAAATATGATTACCAAGACTGTAAGAAGTAAACAAAGTGTAAAAAAAGAGTTGTATGGAATGAAAAGGGAAAAAGAGACACATAGATGTATTCAGAGAGAGAGAGAGAGAGAGAGAGAGAGACAGAGACAGACAGACAGACAGACAAAAAGAGAGACAGACAGTAAAAGGGTAGAGGGCGGGAAGAGATATAGAAGAGGTGTAGAAATGTAAGAGAGGAAAAGAAAAGTGAAAGAGAGAAGGAGGATGAGAGAGAAAAATATAGGGGATATATAGGAGGGAGAGGGAGAGAGACAGAGCCAGAGAGAGAGACACAGAGAGAGAGAGAGAGAGAGAGAGGAGAGGGGAGAGAGAAAAAGAAAGAGAAAGAGCAATGTATATGTACATCATCTGACTACATTATAATCTAAAACAACCATCAATTCCACAGACTCTCGTCACATTCGATATTCTGAAATGGCCATATTGCTCGAGAGGTGTTGATGTAAATCGATCGAGGGTAGTATCAAATATTTCAATGATTGCGGTTCAGCGAGAGCTACGCACTGTCTACATCATAATCAATGTGTGTTTAATATATTCGAGTAGTCAGAAACATCATTATAAAAATCTTAAATGCACCCGAGGGATCTGATTTGTAATTTGAAACCATACTTTCAGAAACATTTCAAGGACTTTCATTCCCTCATTATTTCCTCTTATTTTTAAGAGCCTACAATTAATAAACATATTCCAAGGATATTCAAGGAATTTGCTGGATAATATCCTATAATAACCAACGGCACTTCAATAAACAAAAAGATGAATGGATAGATTTACAAGTGTGTTCAGTAAGTATCAAGGTAATTTGAAAGTTCTATATATTGTGGGATCTAATACATAATTATTCAAGAGAACAGCCTAAAACATAATGTTTCAAAAGACTATGCAATTCAATTTTGTAATACTTTCTATAATCTATATGATTTGGAAATCACTCTATAACTTCCAAGTCCATTTTGTCTAGTAAGAGCCATAAGGCTAGTAGCGTGATTAGCAGCATCCCTCTGGCTCTCAACAGGAAATTATTCAAGGATACTTCAAAGATTTTGCTACAATTTTTTCTCTCTCCACATGTTACGGTACACTTGTGGCTAACAGAATGAAGCAGAGAAATATTTTTAAGCCCACCACAACACTACACAAACTGACTATGATCCATTTTGGAAGAATTCACAAAAACATTTGATATGAACATTCAGAAATGTTAAATCTTATTGATTGAGGATCTGAATAGTCATACAATTTATACAATCTTAATTCAAGGAAACTTATTCTTCCTTAGGGGATAAAATCTAAACGGCTCAGAGTCGAAGTGTTGTCAGACTGCTAGTGCGACTGTCTACATTTGAAGCTCATTCGGCTGTTATTCTGACTGGTAGAGATAAATACACTCCAAGTCTAGTAGTTAGTATTCTCATCATTATTTGGAACCTAAATCTGGAAGGCGATGTTTGTTGGGATATCCGCTTCTAATATTATTGCCATTTCCTCGAAAATTGGATCGCAGAAGGATTGCATGGTGTGCGGTGGGCTTCAGAGTGAGCTGATCGAGCCATCGAAAGAGGATGTAAACTAGGGTAATAATGATTATGATTGTACGGCCCTCAGGGGGAATAGTATTACTACTAATGAGGTTACCCACGGTAAACAAGACATAGTACTGTTGTAACAAACTTCTAAATGCAACCCGTTGACAACTGAATTTTCTCATTCACATAGACTAAACACAGGAACCACTTGGTTCCAGTAAGCAAAGGGTTAAAGAACTGTGCAAACCAATGTATAATTCAAGACCAACATTTTGAAATTGTGAGATGCTTGCCTGGATAGATTTCTCACAAAATATCATGTGAAACATTTCCATACCTCATTTCCTAAATTCCAAATTGTGCGGTATATGTGGCTGAAAGGAATATACCTAAACTTCCATAGAGTGAGCTGGATTTCATTGCAAGGTCGCTAACAACAAACTTTCTGATGTGATAGGGAAAGTAATCTATAATTCAAGAACAAACTTTAGGATCCTTCAAAGATATACCTGGATAATTTTCTCACAAAATTAATGTTTGAACTGGAAAACTTGCAAGAGTATGAGCATACAAGATATTCAAGTGATGTGGAAACCAATCTTATTATTCATTTAAGAATACTTCAAGGACTTTCCTGGATATTTTTTCTTCAAATAATGTTGGAGCTGGATATTTTGTAAAAGTAGGTCATTTTTTCAACAGTTTATGTGATGAAAACTGATCAATAATTTAAGAACATATTTAAGACTGTTCCAGGGACTTTGCTTACTAATTTGAATATATTGAAAGAGTAGGTCACACATTTAACAATTTTAAGTGATGTGAAAACGGATCAATAAATTCAGGAATATATTCAGTAATGTTTCAAGGACGTTGCTTTCTAATTTGTTTTCACGCCGTTTATTGGACTTCTGGTTAATGATACGTTACATAGATCAATTTTATGGGCATGTGCAAACACAGGGGTATTCACTGTACATAATTCAACCATTCTATTTATTTTGGGATCCAATTTACGATTCACGAGCATATTCAAGAGTGTTTCAAGGACGTTTCTCGCTAATTTTTTCTCAAACATTTTATTGGCCTTGTGTGCTTGATATAATATAACGATGTGAAAGACCTATTGTCCAGGTACGGGTTAGATATGCCCGTATTGCAAGAATAAGAACATAATTTATCAAGGCATACAAACCTTAGGATATAATCCACAATTTAATAGAGAACATAAAAATGTTACAAGGATGTTTGCAGAATCATTTTTCTTCACACAATAGGACTTATTTAAGTAGATAATATCTTAAGAAAAGTATAGATTATAAGATTATAAGGGTTAGGGGAAAAAAAAGATCATTTTCTGTGGCGGGATCTGATCTGATTCAAGAGCATATTCAACAATTTTAATAGTGAATTATGAATCAATATTCAAGAACGTTTTTAGAACTTTGCCACACATTATTTTTCTCATGTGACTGAAAAATATGTCCCATAAATGAGCATTTTCCCTTGAACGAGATATGAAATATGAAATTAATTCCAATGTCTGTACTCTCTCTCTCTCTTTCTCTCTCTCTCTCTCTCTCTCTCTCTCTCTCGAGTAGCATAGCCTTTTTTAATGTGACATTTGTACTACTACCCTTCCTACCTCTATTCTCTCCCCCCCCCCCCACCCGCATGGAATAAACAACATAGCGACTTACCGAAAGACCCTCAAAATTAGACGAGTTCAGGGCCATATAGATTTCGTCTGCTATGTCAGCATTCCCGTATGTGTAATTCTCGAGGCGGAGATTTTTACTGGCTAGTCGTTCCTGTGTTCTGTAGAAGATAACAATAATAACATTAATGATAATAATAATAATAATAAAAATAACGATGATGATGATGATGATGATGATGATGGTGATGATGATGATAACAATAATGCTAATTATGATGATAATGATAACAATAATAATGATAATGAAAATAATGATGATAATAATAATAATTATTATAATAATATTAATAGCAACAATAATAATAATAATAATAATGACAATATCAACATAAAACAATGATAATATTAACATAATCATTATTAATAATAAAAGTATTACAAAAATATTAATAGTTTTGTAAAGTGCACACATCTGCCTATAAGTGGAGCCAAATTGCCCAAATGCACAAAACAATCAAGAAATTAAATGAATGCAAAAGCAAAATGTGGGAATGATCTTCGACTCTACACTTTGCTCTTGACTCGCACTGCATATAAACACATTATCGATCCTCTCTCCCTCGGTAGATCAATAATAACTACAACAGGTTTATCAAAGTACTCAACGTATACCCTCCCCAATTTGATCGCTGTTCGCAATCTCCATCCCCATTTCTTAAATCTTTCAAGACAGCATGCAAGCACAGAAGTAAACGCACTTCTCTGCATCATAGAACAGGTTGATCAGGCTCAATTCATTCCATTTGGTCGCGAAAGGAGAATAAATTGAAGCGGAGGGGAAATACTTTTGCATTAAAAATGGTAACTGGTGCAGTCACCTGCTCTGGTCGATAGAATGAGACTAGGCACATGGAAAATATGAGTATCGATCGATCGGGATAAAGTCCGTCTGGAAAAATGTGGAGCACCACTGCCAGATTTCAAAAGATTGCAGTGGAGGAAAGTCAATATGCATACCTCCGTGAGTGATTAAAACCCCATGTAGAGCAGTTTTAAGCACCTGAAATTAAAATTTTCCTGATTTATCTGATTGCAGTTATCAAACAGCAGGACATATCCACTATACAAAATGTGCAATCAAATGCATTTATTTTAGATTAGAGGATTAATCAAATAAGAAGTTATAAAAAACAATGAAACCTTGTTCATTTACTAAAGATCAGGACACGTATATGCAAGTATGGAACTTGGTGTTCAAGTAATTGGGATGCTAGCTCCATTTTGTCACTTTTCCCCTCAATGTTCAGCGTTTATGTATTTCTTTGAAATGGATTACACACATCAAAACTATCTAATGGCTTTCTCTCAAAAATGTTCCATTGAAGATGATTTTTAGTTCAAATTGCTAGGATTAGAAGAGGTGAAGTATACAAGCAGACTGGTTGCCTATCCACCCTTTAACATATTGCGAGAATGTCTTGCTTCTGGTTGGTATTAGCATTTAGCGGCCTCATGAAAGAAGAGGCTTTGTCTGAAGATGTGATGTAGTATGTTAATATGAAATCATTATGGTGGCCTGCAAACACAAATTCCCTCCGAGAGTTACAAATCAAGCTCAATGATCTGGAGTGCGCCTTGGGTTATCTCGGTGGGGAGTTGGAATCAAGAATGATTGAAAACATTTTGACTGAATGAAAAAGAAAACTACAGTGATGTAAAAAAAAAAAATAAATAAAATAAAGAAGAGAGAGAGGGAGAGGTAGAGAGAGGGAGAGGTAGAGAGAGAGAGAAAGAGAGAGAAAGAGAGAGAAAGAGAGAGAAAGAGAGAGAAAGAAAGAAAGAAAGAAAGAAAGAAGGAAAGAAAGAAAGAAAGAAAGAAAGCAGAAAGAAAAGAAAATGATGACATTTTGATAAATGATATCTATGTTAATATGAAATCATTATGTGAGCCTGCAAACACGAATGCCCTCTTGAGAGTTACAAATAAAGCTCAATGACCTGGAGAGCACCTCAGGTTATCTTGGTGGGGAGTTGGAATCAAGAATGATTGAAAACATTTGGACTGAATGAAAAGGAAAACTACAGTGATGTAAAAAAAAAATATAGAAATAAAGAAGAGAAAGAGGGAGAGGGAGAGAGAGAGAGAAAGAGAGAGAAAGAGAGAAAGAAAGAAAGAAGGAAAGAAAGAAAGAAAGAAAGAAAGAAAGAAAGAAAGAAAGAAAAAAGAAAGAAAGAAAGAAAGCAGAAAGAAAAAAAAATGATGACATTTTGATAAATGATATCTATGTTAATATGAAATCATTATGGTGGCCTGCAAACACGAATGCCCTCTGAGAGTTACAAATAAAACTCAATGACCTGGAGAGCACCTCAGGTTATCTCGGTGGAGAGTTGGAATCAAGAATGATTGAAAACATTTGGACTGAATGAAAGAGAAACTGCAGTGATGCAAAAATAGAAAGAAAGAAAAAAGGAGAGAGAGAGAGAGAGAGAGAGTGAAGGATGGAGAGAGAGAGAGAGAGAGAAAGAGAAAGAGAAAGAGAAAGAGAAAGAGAGAGAGAGAGAGAGAGAGAGAGAAAGAAGGATGGAGAAAGAAAGAAAGAGAGAAAGAGAGAGAGAGAGAGAGAGAGAGAGAGGTTATCTTGGTGGGGAGTTGAAATCAAGAATGATTAAAAACATTTTGACTAAATGAAAGATCACTGCAGTGATGTAAAAATAGCACCTAAGAAGACAGAGAAGAGAGAGAGAGAGAGAGAGAGAGAGAGAGAGAGAGAAAAGAAAACGATGACATTTGATAAATGTGGGGGTGAATTAAGTGCAAAATGCTTATGATGTACTTACTTATTGAGAGCAAGAGCTAGGGCCCAGATGGCATCATAGGCTAGGGGAGCTTCTGGGTACCCAGCAGTCTGCTGAGGAGAGGTGGTCAGTTTGCTGTTCAATCGCGCTAAGAACTCTTTGGAAGTCTGTTAAAGAATAAAAGAAATATATTGTATTTATTTGTTGATATTCTTAATATTATTGATTAAATCAATGCCATTAATATTCATTTTCATTGATTTATATTCATATTGATATTCATTAATCAATCTTTATTTATATTCATGTTAGTATAGTGTATTCATGCATGGTAATTCATGAAGAGGTAAGACGGCTGACGGCTGGTCCTTTGACAAAATGAGACGACACGTAAAAGAGCATCTTGTTTCCAAAAGGCATAATTTTGGGCAGGATACTGGTGAACTTACAAGTGTAATGTTATGTATAAGAATCTCAATGACTAACATTTAGCCTGATAAGGGTGGTACTAATATTTCTTACAACTTTTTCCAAATAAAATAGACCTACCCCTATTACATGTTTATGCTAAAAGTAATGATATTAAACAGTTATGCATTTGCACATTCTGGATGCATTATTACACAACACTTACCTTTGGCTATCAAAGTCCATTACTATAAATAATGTTGTATTTGAAGAAAGAAAAATCATAATTTACACTATATAATATATAACTAATAATGATTTTAATTAACAGTGTACTGATTCTATTCATTTCAAATATCTATGTTGATTCAACCATGTCCAATGTCTCATTAATGCATAACATTATTGTCATCTCTATGCATGCATAGCACCCCTGACTACATTTGAATTGTGTAGCATGCAGTAATAAACAGAATCTATTAATACCCTGTTCAAATTAGAAGAAATTCATACAAAAATCTATACAGAATCATTGTATGATGAATGAGGTGTTCACATTGGATAACAACATTGTATAACAAAACAAGTTTTGAAGAGGTTGGTTAACAAGTAAGTTGGCCATTCATCTCAAAAAGGCTGCCCGGTTATATATTGTTTTCATACAATTGGACATTCAGACGATATATTGAGTTTCATTTGAAGTAATGTTCAAACACGTCTTTCACTATATGACACTTATACATCGTGTAAAGAAAGACAAACATGCCTTTCAATTTATGGTGGGGCATCATGAATATTATATTGTTTCATCATGATTTACGATCACATAGCGATTGATGGCCCTGGAGTCTCGTTATCACATAGCAGTTGAGCTATCAAATGTTTAATGTCTCTTGTCTAATGTGACTGTAGCATTGCTGTAGAAAGCATGTTGCAGCACTGGTGTACCTGTTAACATTAAGTAAGTATAGTTTTAAAGGGATCCGGTAACTTTGTCTTAGATCCTTTAAAAAAAACTTGATTTAGCTGAAATGATAATTATAAACCTTTAGGTCAGTCAGGAACCCCTTGACTTTTACAAGCCGATTGCCTGTCTGAATATCAAGATATTTATGATTAAAATCAAAATCAAATTTTGCGTTTGCCAAACGGTTTTCATAACACTACAGTCTTTTGGAGAAAACGAGTATGGTAAAACGGGTCACTCAAAGGTTTTTACTTTTTTGAGGCACTTCTTGATCCTTTTGAAGCGCAATTTTTGTTAGGGCTTCAATATAACACCATATCACATACACTGATAACACGTAGGGCTGTGCATCTCAGATTTAACATTGTTAAACGATGCCTTTAAAGGTAGTCAAGTTATTCTTCTACACAATCATTATCCTTTAGACCCATCTTCACATCACCACCACAACCAACATCATCGTGATACAATCATTACTTGACCAAGTGCATTCTTACCGAACCCTTAAACCTCCATCATAACATCTCCCGTCCTATTCATCGTAAAAAGACCTGGACAAAGATTTGTTTTGACCCATCCCCCTAGCGGAAATATCCACACAAGGTTCTGATAATTAAACTTCCACCCCCATCCCTATAAACCTTAGAGACCTCGCCGGAAGAGAGGCAGGTGATGACCGATGATCAGGGACCGGTTTCACAAAGCCTTTTTTCAATGACAAAGGACAAATACCAGTGACAAATCTGCTGATAGCCAATCAAAAGCAAGGATTTCAGTAGCTTTTAACAAAAACTGTCATTTGTCACTGATGACAAGTTTTGTGAAACAGGGCCCAGTTGTTAGCTTGATGAGATGTCTAAAGATTTCTTCTCAAGTTCCTTGCACCCAACCTGAACTATTTGGGCTTGCTCTTTTTCAATCTCACCAGCTCTCAGTGATGTGCAGTTTTGATGATTGATAAAAAGAGGTGCTGATTATAAGGAGGATAGAGGTGATGATGGTGGTGATGATGGTGGTGGTGATGATGGTGGTGGTGATGATGGTGGTGGTGATGATGGTGGTGGTGGTGATGATGGTGGTGGTGATGATGGTGGTGGTGATGATTGTGGTGGTGATGATGGTGGTGGTGATGATAATGGTGACGATGATGGTGATGAAGATGATGGTGATGATGTTGGTAGTGATGGTGGTGGTGATGATGATGATGGTGAGTATGATAATATTGATGGTGGTGGTGGTGATGATGATGATGATGATGGTGGTGATGATGATGATGATGATGATGGTGAGTATGATGATGGTGGCGATGATGATGGTTGTGGTGAAGATGATTATGATAGTGGTGGTGGTGATAGTGGAGGTGAAAATAGTGGTGATAACAGTAGTTGCATATGGTGGCAGTGGTGATGGTGATGATAGTATGGTAGTTATGCCTGTGTTGATAATTGTGGTAGCAATGGTAGTGATGATTGTGGCAGTGGTGGTTTTGGTAGTGGTAAAAAAATTGTTCAATTGTTATATGCTAATAGAAATCTTTGATTTAATGATCATTATCTTATCTTAAAGCTAATGGTAAAGTCAATTGTTGCATTTGCTATCTCATACAGATATGAACTTATACATTTCACAAATGTCTGTGATAAAATAAGTATCATAATATGTTAACACCCAATCTGTATACCTTTCTCTACCCGTCTGTCTGTCTGTCTCTCTCTCTCTCTCTCTCTCTCTCTCTCTTTCTGTATCTCTCTCTGTCTGTCTGTCTGTCTCTCTCTCTCTCTGTCTGTCTCTGTCTCTCTGTCTGTCTCCCCCCCCCCCATCTCCTCTCCCTCCCCCTCTCTCTTTCTCTCTCTACCCCCCCCCCATCTCTCTCTCTCTCTCTCTCTCTCTTTCTGTATCTCTCTCTGTCTGTCTGTCTGTCTGTCTCTCTCTCTCTGTCTGTCTCTGTCTCTCTGTCTGTCTCCCCCCCCCATCTCCTCTCCCTCCCCCTCTCTCTTTCTCTCTCTACCCCCCTCTCTCTCTCTCTCTCTCTCTCTCTTTCTCTCCCTCTGTGTGTCTCTCTCCCTCTCCCTCTCTCTCTCTCCCTCTCTCCCTCACTCTGTCATCTCCACAACATTGGTAGGTATCACTTTACCCTTCCTATACCTCTCGTCTTTCTGTCAGCTTTCTTTTCTTATCTCCATCCTAGGCTATCCATATCAAATAACGTTGCATCATCACAGCTGTCGCGGGGGCAAGAGAATCTTCACACTTTCTCCTGCCCAAGCGAGGGAGCCTGCACTTCCGTGGAGACCTCTAGCTGTAATGTTTAATCAAATCTCGGCACTTTACCCACCCCTGGTAGGTGTGTGTCTGTCAAGGTCATGGAGTAAAGGAAGATGTATGACCCATGGATTGGTAAGTATGAACCCAGAGGTGGTACAGACTGTCAGGGGGGAATTAGGAGGGGGATGAAAGGGAAAGAGAGAGAAAGAGGAGGGGAGAAAGCAGAGGGAAAGAGGGGAGAAAGAGGAGGAAAATAGAGAAAGGAAGACAGAGAAGGAGTGGAAGATACAAGGAAGGGAAAGGGAGTAGGAAAGTGAGAGGAGTGAGGGGGAGGAAAGGGACAGAGAAGAAGAGCAGCGATGAGAGAGAGAGAGAGATGAAAAAGGGGAGAGAGGAGACTGTGTATGTTCCCATCTTTAATCCTCCAACCCCTCTTTCCCCCTCCAAAAAAAAAACAACAACATCTCTCTCTCTCTCTCTCTCTCTATGTATGTCTCTCTCTCAGGAGATACCCGTTCCCTTGTTCTCTTTCTCTCTCTTTTTATATTTGTTACAATTTTCCCTACCCTATGACCCCCCTCTCCCTCTTTCCCTCCCTCCCTCTCTCCCTGCCTCTCTCTCTCTCTCTCTCTCCCTCTCTTCCATCCTATCTTTGTATTATCATATCCGACCATCACAAGCCTTTACACTGACATACTTTAATTTCATTAAAGCATGGCCGTGGCCTATTTTATACCACAATCCAGAAATTAATGGCATTTATTTTCTGTTCCGGAGCAAACACCCTTTAAATGAAACTCTGATGAAAGGCAATTAATCTTTGATATCAGGTAGACTGTATCATACCTCTATCAAATCATAACATTGGAATATCATAACCATATTCAGATTATTTTCCCAAAAGGGCACAGGTTTTTATCATACCAAAGTTCCTGTTTGTATAGAATGTTTATATCTTAAACCCTACTGTTTTGGTACCCCTCTTCTCTTATTATACTATTCTGTATATATATACCTCTTTTGCTTTTCCTCTACCTCTGAATATGTTTAATAATTCCTATTTTCTACCCTTTCGCACCCATCTCTGAATTTCTTCTTTTTAAAGTGAATAACAAAAACCAGCCTATTGAATCAGCTCAAAATTCATTGAATTAATAAAATAATCACAAAATGAAATCATCATTCTAGACCTGAAAATGAAACAAGCCAAAAGGCTATTACCTAGTATGCATTTACATATATTCATCGTCCTTCTGGTTCCTGCCAGAAGAGCTAACAATTTAAAATCCAAGAAACCTCTGTAAACCCAAATGCTAAGACTACACACAGCATGCAAGAAGGTCTGGGGGTAAGAAATGTCAAATGGTTTGAATATAATTCACAGATTTACAAAGCATGCTCCGCTGTCCTCCCAACCCCAATCGCTTTAATTTGTTGTTCCTCATTGACACAATTTTTGCCATTTTGCCCTAGATGACAGCCACATAGAGACGCCCTAAAGATTTCTGCCCTACTGACTTTCCAAATTCTAGCACCCGGCTAAATTACACTGGAAAACGATTGTTGCAGTTCAGTGAACAGACAAGCATTACTTCTGCCTCGAGCAAAAATGAGAAGATGGATTTAAAGATATATGGATGGAGAGAGAGATGCACAGATATTCGCAAAGGGAGAGAGATATAAATACAGAGAGAGGGAGCTGAGAAAGTAAGAAAGTAAGATATAGAGAGCAGGAGAGGGGGATTGAGACAAAGAGAGATAGACAGATGGAGACAGAGAGAGAGACAGACAGACAGAGATAGAAAGACAGACAGACAGAAAGACAGAGGGAAGGAAAGAAACAGAGATAGAAGAAGGTGATTGTGAGGATATGCATTTACAGTGCAAAAATTAGCGACATTTCTGCCAGCATTAAACACGAAAAAATGCACTCCAGAGGTGGATTTTTTTTGTTTTGTGTGTCTTGTTTGCAGGTAGTCTAGCAACTACGTGTGAAACACTAGAATGTGAGAAAAATCCATGATTTTTGCTTGCAGCGTAAATGCAGTTAGAGTCAATCTGAGCAAGATAATGGCGTAAACATATCATTGAATCCCATGAATAGAGCCATCTAGGTCATCATGTCTATGATGCAACATTACGCCATGCGCCCGGAGAATGCATGCGGGATCAAAGACCGCATCATCATCATTCCATCCATCCCCTGTTCTCTTTCTTGGAATATAATAATTGATGGCATTTCTGTGTCACATTAATGCATCTCGGAGACAGAATGAGAATGAGTGAGATGGATAAGACAAAGATGAGGGAAAGACGAATGCTAAAGATGATGGCTGCTGACACAGATAACTGTAAATGAGGGTATGGGATCCTTTGAATACCGATCCTGTGACTGAGCTGTAATATAATAACCCCCACACTCTTTATTTTTGTTAGAGACTTGTCAGAGAAAATCATTATAAATTGCCATCTTCCATAAACAAATTGCCCGTGAGTATCAATACTCATATTATATATCTAAAACGGTTTAACCCCTTCTTCGTTTAAATTCTAATGATATCATTTTCTTTTAAAACAGTTTCAAAAGTACTTCTTTTTAATAAACCTCTTACAACCTTTTACTTGTGGTAAGAGGATCTTTTCCCAGACTCTTAACTAACTCTTATTCCTTCCATCTGCTTTTCCCTTTCATTTTTACTAACTCCTTTGGGAAAAGAGAATGTTAATCAAAGCCAAGTGTTCTTCAATCATTTTTTTGAAATTTTGTAACCAACCTCATGAATTTTAAAACACAATTTACCCCGTTTGGTAGCATGTGCCTCCATGATGAATGTTTCATTAAAGACTGTGCATCCGTCAACAACCCTAACCATGACATTTAGGAGAACGAATCCATTACTTCTAACAAAGTTGTCATTTTGATTATGATGAATACATAACTTTTTTTTTAAAATTCAAAGTCACGGACAGCAAGTAAGACAAAATATGACTCATCCAAAATTATTTTTACAAACATCAAATATTTACATTTACGTGAATGAGTCCTGTAAATGCACTACACATGAATTCACTGTCCTGAACTCGATTAGGTTTATCCCCTTCTGTTCCTGTTTAATTAATCCCATGCCTATGAGAAGCACTTGGTCCCTGTATAAAGCCTATGTGAATTAGACAAATCAGTAGCTGAGCGGTTAAGAGAGAGAATGAAGCGCGATGGAGATTCCAAACCAATGATGTAACGAGAGATTGTTTCTGCCGTGCTAATGCACTCTGCAAAGTGATTCATAGACAGATCTTGAGAAGCTTGCGTGCCAACACATTTGCGTCGGAGCCCTAAACATTGTGTCATCCATGTGGCCGCGCCGGTCCAAACATACGTGACGACAAGGTGAAGTAGCGTTTATTTGATTATCGACGTGACGGAGCAAGGTTGCACGCATTAGCGCCCGTAATGGAATTGCAAAATTTGATACAATTGAAAGAAAAGGGAAATTTTATTTCTAGTATTTCGTCATTTGATCTACTACCTATCTTTTCTAATTTCTGTTTCTTTCCTTTTCTCTCTCTCTTTCTCTCTTATTTCTCTCTTTGTCTCCCTGTCCGTCTCGATCCTAACTATCTCTTACTTGCTTCATGTCCATTTTGACTATGTCTCAGTATTAGTCACCCTCCAGCCACTCACCCACCTTTCTCTCTCTCTCTCTCTATCTCTCTCTCTCTCTCTCTCATTGATATCCTTCTCTTTCAAATAGTTGCATAAGCAGATGAATGGCACATGTAAATGAATGTCCAAATTTTTCAACATAAAGATGGCTGTGCTAAATTTATTGATTTGATCATAACTTGATTACTTTTCTTTCCTTTGTAATATTTCAAGGTTCTTTTCATGCCTAATTCAATAGCATAATCTTCTCCTGTTCATCAAACACGAAGGGAGAATTATTGGTACTCAATTCCACATCCAAAAATAACTGGGGATTGATGGACGGAGGTATGCTCAGTCAAGTCGACTCCTACATGGTGCTGTTTCATTTTCTTCCCTTGTATCTTGTATTCACAAGCATGCAGAGCACTAAATTTAACTTAAAATCTATATTCGACTATCAATCCTCTTTTCTTTCAAGCTACTTATAACCATCTATCTTCAAACCTAAATTTCATCCATGCTAAATGTTAGCATTACTCTATAATTTTTTTTAATCTAATTACCCATCTACTGGTATTAATTTTCAATTATCCATCCACAAACTATCTATCCGTTTTTCATTTGTTCATTTATCCATCCATAATCCATCCAATCATATTATTATTTTTCAAGTACTCATCCATCTCCCTTTGCATTCATCTACTAATTTTCCATTCATCCATCCACAATACACACCGTACCACACATCCATTCATCTCTGACCATCAATCCGTCATTCATCTGTTTCCATCATTCACCTCCCCCCCCCCCCCCCCTTACCCCCGCCCCCCCCCCCCCCCACTCCGTGAACGGAGGGATACCATGTATGTTCCCAAACTCTCCGGCTCGTAACAAAAGAAAAAAGTCTACCCGTATTGACTTTACACACCAGACTTTTGCTGAAAAGGGGGGGGGGGGGGGTCGCTGGGAACACGTATATGCGTACCCTAAATAACACTGAGTGGGGGGGGGATGGGATTCACCTGCTTCAGCAACCATTCAGTCATTTATCCACCCATCTCACTATCCACAAGTGAATGTCACATTTTGTCAACCCAACATTACCTGGGCTCACAGGAGAGTCCATAAACTTAAAGGCATTGTTTAACAATGTTAAATCTGAGATGAATGGCCCTACGTGTTATCAGTGTCTGTGATATGGTGTAATATTGAAGGAGATATCATGTTCTTGAAGTGGAATTCATTAAAAGTCTAAAATACTTCAAATTTTGCTTTTGAATATATTTTATTTTGAGGCTACAAATGGCTCTCCATAATGTTTAAGTCCAACTTAGAGTTAGGTTTGACTTAAGATCTTTGTGAAACACCCCCCCCCCCCCCCCCTGATTTGATTCTCTCTAAAAAAACACTCTCTAAAAGACAGAGACATTGAAATCCTTGCTTTGAGAAGTCATATTAGAGATCATATGATTAGTTATTCTTTACTCAATTCCTTCCAGATTAAAGTGGAATCTACTCCAAGACTTAGGTTCGACTTAGGATCTTTGTGAAACACCCCCCAGGACTTGATAAAGAATAAAGGCCCAAGCGTGCTCCTACTCACCATGCCAGAGATGGAGGGGGTGTCATCCGGTTTTAACATCATCCCTTCTGTAGTGAAGTGATACTGTAGCGCCTCCTTGAGCTGTTCAGCTGTGCAGTTGATATGTTTGTCATCCGCATCATACCAGTTATCAGGGTACCACCCTATCAGGAACCAGACTATCTTGGGCCCATAAAGCTTCTGTTTGTAAACCTGTCAAATAAAAACAAACATAACAAATCCCTAAGTATCTTGTTTTTATATGAAACAATAAGTTCTTTTTTTTATTTTTTTTACTGGACTCATGTGGATCACACAGTTCGTGGTTCGAGTCCGCCAAGGCAATAATTTCCTTTAGCAAGACATTAATCTTCATTTGGTTTTAGCCCATAAAGCTTCTGTTTGTAAACCTTTAAATGAAAAACATACATTAAAATACATAAGCCTCAAGTTTTTGCATGGTATTTTTCATATATCAAGCAATGCCTCCACTAAGATATTTTACTGGACTCATGTGGATCACATGGTTCACAGTTTAAGTCCTGCCAAGACACTGATTTCCTTTAGCAAGACATTAATCTACATTTGGTTTTAGTTTCTACAATTGATATAATTTGAAATTTGATGATCATATCTCACAAATTTTAAAATACATCAAATTACTCCCACACTTTGCTGGCTTCATGTGCAGTCTTTTTTGTACCTGAATTGTCCTTTATAACTTGAAAATCCCAAGACTTTCAAGGGGTTCTGTGTATGCATTTAAACAAAATAAGGTGCTGCATTAGGATCACTAGACTTTATCTTACTGTTCATAACTTGCAATGGAGAAAGGGACAGTGGCTAGGACTTCAAATTCATCAATTTCTATTTGAAATTTTTTAATAGTATCTTTAACAATGATTTTTCCTATCCATTTTAGCAAGGAAAGAAAAAGAGGTGTCAATATAAAGCTGGACACATTGTATGTATGTCGCACCCTTTGCAAACTTTGCCGGTACGTACACGACACAAAAATAGCACTTTTTGGTACGTTCTATCAGTCCTCGTGGTAACTTTCCTCAAGATCATGGAAGCTTGCCTTGACCTGCATATCGACGTCAGCTGTCGAACTTCCCGTTTCACAGCTAGCATCTGACTGATCGTGTCAGGTTTTTCCGAGAGCGAGAGCGGAAGAATGGAAGGAGCAGGTCCAAATTTAGGACCCGTAAGTAGGGCGGGGTAAACATAGAGTGCACCCCCCCCCCTCCTAACATTAAAGTTTGCTCTCCATACACGTAAGTGAATGTAATATTAAAGAAAGGGGCCAAGTGCAATTACGGTATGGGTAAGGGTATATATGGCATTGGGTGTTTTGTAGACATTGTATGATCTTGTTTGAGTAGCTTTGACAGTATATCACTTTCTCTGATTAGATTTGTAGTGTACGATTGATAATCTGAAAATCTGGTTGATGAAATCAGAAAAATTGCTCTGGTTTGATGGATTCTAATGTTTGATTAATCCGTTTCTATTTAGAATGAAGAGAGAGAGGCATCAAGCAAATACAAATGAAGAGAAAGGGGTGTTGAGCAAAGACAAATAGAGTGATTGAAGAAGAAATAATGATAGAAATAAAAGAGAAAAGAAAAGAAAAACAACAGAGATAGGAGTAGAGGTAAAGAGAGAGGGGGTAGAAGTAGATGTAGGTAGATAAAGAGGGAGGGAGGGAGAGAGGGAGAGGGAGAGGGAGAGAGTGAGAGAGAGAGAGAGAGAGAGAGAGAGAGAGAGAGAGAGGGAATAAAGTCATCCAGGAAGAGAAAGGCATTTGGGAATGTCAAAAACAAATTATGATCAACAACCAAATAGGGTGAAGAAAAGTGAGACAACAAGAGGAGCTGCTGTGATCTTCCTACCAAGAAAAAGAGCCATGTTTATACAGTCCGCTTGTTTTCTCAAATAAGTTTGAAGGATTTCTCACCATCAGGTGATTACCGAGGGGACTTTGGGAGTTCTTTTTATTTAAAATGAAGAAACACAAGAGCAATCTGGAGGTTAATTGGTTGTCACGGCGATCATTTCTTCCTAGGTGGTGGGAAATTGATTGGAGACATCCGGGAGGAGGGATGGAGGCGTGAGGAAAACAATGTTTGTATTGACTCCCTGGTGTGGATTTGACTAAGGAGGTAGCCGTGACGACCGGCTTTAGAGATGATGGGAGAGATGCGGGAGTATGGGGAGGTATGGATGAAGATGGGGAATTAATGATGTGATAATGATGTCAGCTGTACTAATGTGATGAAGTGGAGAGGAGTAAGGTTGTGATGATGTCATAATGCGAGATGCACGAGCATGGATATTGATGGAGATTTGATTGGGGGTTAGTCGAATATTTTGATTGTGATTCTTAGAAGAGAGAAAGGGTGATGTTGATTGCAAAGGACTCATGGGGCATAGCTTGGAATGGCAGTGGTGATGGTGGCGGTGGTGGTGGTGGTCATAGGTGATGGTAATGGTGATGGTGATGGTGGTGATGAGGTGGAGGTGTGTTGGTGATGGTGGCGGTGGTAGTGGTGGTGGTGGTGGTGGTTATGATGTTGGTGGTGGTGGTAATGGTGGTGGTAATGGTGGTGGTGATGGTGGTGGTGATGGTGGTGGTGATGGTGGTGGTGATGGTGGTGGTGATGGTGGTGGTGATGGTGGTGGTGATGGTGGTGGTAATGGTGGTTGTGATGGTAGTAAGGACAGTGGGGTGGTTATGGTAGTGCTTTCTGGTGGTGATGATGATGTTGATGATGGGTGTGATATAGAGGGCTGCATTGCTAATAATCACAGCGGTGACAGCGGGGGTGGCAGTAATGGTGGTGGTGGTGGTGATAATGATAATGGTTATGATAGTAGTGGTAGCAAGGGAATGGTAATGTTGGTGGTGCTGGTAGTGGTAATGATGATGGTGTTGTGATGATTAACTTTGAAGGCCTTAGGACAAATGGTTTCCAAAACTGCAGTGCAAGATTGAATCCCAAAAGAGACATCTAAGTTAGATGTGGAATTAGCAAAAAAGATGTGGAGGTGATACAACATTTTCTTGTGGCATTATTCCATCAAAATATATGGAAAGGTTTTAGTGTTAGGATTGACTTTGGGTTTTAGGTTTATGTTCATGGTTAGGGATAGGGATAGGCTTAGAAATACCACCAGGTTTTAGGATGAAGCTTAGGGTTAGTGTTGCCATTGGGTTTTAGGTTTAGGGATAGGGTTAGGGTTGCCATTTAGTTTTAGGTTCAGGGTTAGGATTAGGATCAGGATCAAGCTAGCTATGGCGCTGGGTTCAGAGTTGAAATTAGGAATTTGACAAATAAATAAGAGGCAATGTTGTTTAAAGCTTGTATGGTACAACCTAAGGGCTGTCATTAGAATTTTTATTTTAGTTACCATCAGATGTTCTCAACCTATTAAAAATTATTTCAATAAATAATGGAGATAAAGAGTCAAGGACAAAAGCTTAAAGAGAAGAGTTTAAAATAGTAGGATAACAGCAACTGATGAAGAAATATATATCAACAAGAAGATACAATAATGAAAAGAGAAAGATTATGTGAAAATAGTTACAAATGTAAAGTGCTAAGAAATGTAATATTAAGTACTCTACAACTGTGACTATTAAATCCTCCCCCTCATATGCCTGAAGATAACATTTAAATGTCCTCAAACTAAAGCAGAGCAATGTAATGTTAGTACAATTATTCCAATATTTGCAAGGGAAATATATGGTAAGTCATGACATCCACTCACAGGCTATTTCTTTCACATAATCCTCAACACTTTAGATGAATTCAAGAGTTCAGACATTTTAAGGTAAGTACTTAAAATACTGCCCTGGCAATATAAGAACTATTTGGCGACAAATGGATTGCCCATTTCTGAGAAAATTCCATTTTCACTCATCTTGATAGCACAACTTCATCCACGAGTCTGTATTCACCGCAACTAGCAGCTTCTATGTTTTTCTTTCTTGCGTGGGAATGGAGATTTCCACATTTTCCACTCTGGCCGGGACTAGATTTAGCAACGTCCAAATCGAAAGTGTTGCCATGGGCTAAAATGACGACAAAAGCTATTTGGTGGGTGTAAGTCAGAGTAGTCTCTCTTGATCGAGTTTGGGGTTAGGAAAAAGGGTAGTGTAGAATAGGTAAGATATGCTGTGCTCGGGAAAACAGAGAGGTTCAGAGATAACGGGTCATTCCATTAGGAAAATTTGCACATTTCTTACAAAAACTTGATCTTAACTGATTTGACTACTGAATTGTCATTCTAAGAAGTAGCCACCTGGGTCCTGTTTCGTAAAACTTGTTGATAACAACAAATGCTAAATTTCAAGGGCAAATTCGCTCTCAGCCGATCAAATGCCATGATTTCAGTAGCTTATGATAGTTATTATAACTTGTTATTGATAAAAAAAAAAATATATATATATATATAACAGGACCCTAGTTCCCAAGGGGAACGGGTGAAGTTTTTTTGTGTCACTCAATAATATCCCTGTGCCTTTAAGTATTTCGGAGGAGATATGTTTACATATGGCTTCTAGATTATTTTCAAAAAAACTAACTGAGGTAAAAATACTTCACACATTAAAAAAAAAGTTTATTTCATGCAGCCAAATAAGAGTGAAAATGTTGTATAATTTCAATCTTTTGTGAAACACAGTACAACTTCCAAATTTATGGTCAACTATTTTGTGTCATTGTTAGATTATTGATACCAATATAAAAATACCAATCTCCACCATTCATGAATCTGTTTCAACTTTCAAGAAAAAGGAAAACACTTTCTTGATCAATAAACATTACTCGCAACTAATGGTAGGTCTTTGTATCATACTATGCCAGAATTCGACAAACATTGTCAAGGGACTTCCAAATTTTCTCATTTCCATAGGTTTAATACAAGGATTATCTGGTTTGCACTGGCAAAGGGTTGAACGATGGCTAGATCTAGAAATATTGTCATCTGTCATCCGAGCATTAGAAAAAACTGGAACTAATTATTTTCGGCAACTAATTATTTTCCTGCAGCTAATTAAAAGATTATGATTGATGTGTCACACCTGCACATGATTTGTGTCAAGAAAAAAAGTGTATAAGGATATAACTAATTTATCTTTCTTTTTACCCTTGTTCTAGAAGAACAGATCAATTCTAATCACTCCCACTTTGAATTAGAATAAGGGATTATGGATGGAACACATTGAGTATCTATTAACAAAATTACTAAGAATATTTAAAGGTGGTTGAGAGCCTGAGAATTACAGCAATTTACACCATTTTATACATATCTTTGTGTGTAATCAAACTAATTAATCAATGAAGAAAAAAAATACAGAAATACACAATGTTTAAGGACCCTATTTTGAAGGCTAAAAAAAAAGATGTTCCATAGGGAGACGATAACGAGCAGATGAAGATTTTAACATTCTTGCTGAAAATCTACACAAAATGCTAAAGAGAAATGCAGACAGCATAATGGCATGAGAGGTGGGCTATTTGCATGATATGAAAATCTATTCATGTATAGGCAGTCATATTTCTGTATTTTCAATGTTAGCACATGCAAGGACAGTTTGAGTGTGAAATGGGCATGACATAAAAACAAAAGTTTACATGTAAGTATTATAGTACAGCCCATGTTAGTGCATACAAGAAGATCTTGAGTATGAAATGGGCACTAGACAAAACAAAAATCTACATGAAAGTGTGTTCATATTATTGTACATCCAATATTAGAACATATGATGGACTCTTAAGTGTGAAATAGGCACTATGGGATTGCAGGGAGATTGCAAGAAACAGTGACAGATCTGGGTAGGATAGTTGATGGTTTGGGCTAGAAAAAAGCCAAGTGGGTGTGCTTCCATAGCCAAAAGGTTTGATTATTTTGTGCTTGCAGCGTAAAATGACAAAATCCTTCATGCCAGTTATGTCGTCAAAACCTGATCATTTCAAGCGAACTAAATTCCAGGTTGACTGAGGAAGCATCAGCTGGAAAATATTTAGATGGAACTATGGAAAATAATTGTGCCATACATTTTGATGCCTGGAGCTAAACCATTGGACAGTTTGAGGGAGGAAGGAAGAAAAAAGCTGAATATCGAGCATC